TTGTAGTTTCCTGACAATAAATTGTGTGTAAGTGTAAGGATCTCTCTGAAATTGTACCACAAGGTTCCATATCACAAAGGGAAGTCTGGGATTGAGTTTGGGGGTAATTGCCCCAAACGTTCAGGAATTAAGGCAAAAAAAGGGGCCAAAAATAAGCATTTTTCTAGTTTCCAGACAATTACTTGTGTTAAAGGTTATGGAACTCTCTGAAATTGTACATTTTTCCTGAAAAGAAAATAATCTTCAAAATTTTGGGGGTTCATATTTTTTTTCTTCAAAATTTGTGAAATTTCAAATTTTTTGAAAAAAAAAAAATTGGGGGGGGGGTCATACTTTTTTTCTTCAAGATTTTTCAAAATTTCAAAAAAAAAATCAATAATTTGTAGAACATTGATAATGTTAAGTTTATGAGATACTTGTACTAAAACCTTCATATTACAGACTTTCAACATAAATTCAATGATAAGTTAAACAGGTAAGACCTTTTGATTTTGTGTTTCAGTAATAGCAAGGAAAAACTGTGCCTTCTTCCATATGTCCTTAGTATACAGAAAGAAAACATATACTTTAAAAACTTCCAAATATAGCAAAACCCAAACAACAAAGCAAGATATAAAAGGCCCTGGCATGACAAATCTACAACAAAACCCAAACCACATAGCGAGCTAGAAAAGGCCCTGACAAGACAAATCTACCACAAAACCCAAACCACATAGCAAGCTAGAAAAGGCCCCGACATGACAAATCTAAAACAAAACCCAAACCACATAGCAAGCTAGAAAAGGCCCTGATATGATAAAAAAATCTACAGCAAAACCCAAACCACATAGCAAGCTAGAAAAGGCCCTGACATGACAAATCTACCACAAAACCCAAACCACATAGCAAGCTAGAAAAGGCCCTGATATGATAAAAAAAATCTACAGCAAAACCCAAACCACATAGCAAGCTAGAAAAGGCCCTGACATGACAAATCTAAAACAAAACCCAAATCACAAAGCAAGCAAGAAAAGGCCCTGACATGACAAATCTACCACAAAACCCAAACAACATAGCAAGCTAGAAAAGGCCCTGACAAGACAAATCTAAAACAAAACCCAAACCTCAAAGCAAGCTAGAAAAGGCCCTGACAAGACAAATCTAAAACAAAACCCAAACCACAAAGCAAGCTAGAAAAGGCCCTGACATGACAAATCTAAAACAAAACCCAAACCACAAAGCAAGCTAGAAAAGGCCCTAACATGACAAATCTAAAACAAAACCCAAACCACAAAGCAAGCTAGAAAAGGCCCTGACATGACAAATCTAAAACAAAACCCTTACCGCATAGCAAGCTAGAAAAGGCCCTGACATGACAAATCTAAAACAAAACCCAAACCACAAAGCAAGCTAGAAAAGGCCCTGACATGACAAATCTAAAACAAAACCCATACCGCATAGCAAGCTAGAAAAGGCCCTGACATGACAAATCTAAAACAAAAACCATACCGCATAGCAAGCTAGAAAAGGCCCTGACATGACAAATCTAAAACAAAACCCAAACCACAAAGCAAGCTAGAAAAGGCCCTGACATGACAAATCTAAAACAAAACCCAAACCACAAAGCAAGCTAGAAAAGGCCCTGACATTACAAATCTAAAACAAAACCCAAACCACAAAGCAAGCTAGAAAAGGCCCTGACATGACAAATCTAAAACAAAACCCTTACCGCATAGCAAGCTAGAAAAGGCCCTGACATGACAAATCTAAAACAAAACCCAAACCACAAAGCAAGCTAGAAAAGGCCCTGACATGACAAATCTAAAACAAAACCCATACCGCATAGCAAGCTAGAAAAGGCCCTGACATGACAAATCTAAAACAAAACCCATACCGCATAGCAAGCTAGAAAAGGCCCTGACATGACAAATCTAAAACAAAACCCAAACCACAAAGCAAGCTAGAAAAGGCCCTGACATGACAAATCTAAAACAAAACCCATACCGCATAGCAAGCTAGAAAAGGCCCTGACATGACAAATCTAAAACAAAACCCATACCGCATAGCAAGCTAGAAAAGGCCCTGATATGATAAAAAAAATCTACAGCAAAACCCAAACCACATAGCTGCGCTCGGCGAAGCATTTTATTAAAATTATTTTGATGATAATTTTGATATTCACATAGTGAACTGTACCAGTACATTTCTATGTTGCAATATTCCAGCAGCATCTGCGTATAGAGTGTATATCTTCCAGTTGATATGTTATTCCAGGACTTGTATTTGGTATCATGTTTCCTCGTGCGTGTTTTGACTAACAAGGAAGCTATTGAACCAGGGGTTCTTAATGAGGAAGTCATCTTTGAAAGTTTTACAAACACGGTGACCATCATGATTTGGTTGACCATTTTCAAAATACTATCCTCTACCTCATTTATGACATTACCTTCTGTGACCTTTCTGGGTTTTTGTCTTGACAGAGTAAAAAAGGGAGACATAAGTATGGTGTTTCTGGCGGCATCAACAATGTTTTAGTTTGTGATTAGATCTAGGTTAGGGTGAACCACTAGTGGTAGGTCAATGATATTTGATATGCAGTTGTATAAGCATTGGCACATCTCATTTCCATGGAGATTTTTTGGCCCTGCCCCTCAGTCATGGTCTATTGACTTTGAAACTTTTGCTTAGTTTATATGTATTAGTTTGTGGTTAGGTCAGTTCAAGGAGAACCATTTTTAGTGGAACCAATGTTAATTTGTATGCAGTTGTATACGCATTAGCACATCTTATTTCCATGGAGAATATATGGCCCCGCCCCCTCAGTCATGGTCTATTGACTTTGAAACTATTGCTTAGTTTACATGTATTAGTTTGTGACTAGATCAGTTTAAGATGAACCCCTAATGTTAAGTCAATGATATTTGTTATGCAAATTTATTGGCACTTGTAAGTCTCGTTTCCATGGAGATTATATAGCTACTCCCTCATCATGGTTTTGAAACTTTTACATAGTTTACAAGTTAATGTTTGTGTTTATGTTTGTTTAAAGGAACGACTTATGATAAGTCAAAGGCATTTGGTATGCAGTTGTATTAGCATTGGCACATTTCATTTCCATGGAGATTGTTTAGCCATGTACCTTCAGTCATGGTTCATTGACTTTGAATATTTGCATAACTTACATGTTAAAGTATTGCTATTTTAATTTCAACATTTGCATTATCAAAATTGCAAAAAGACGAGACATATCTCTGTGTAAACAGTTTTTTACATGAAATGAGCAACAAGATGAGTTCCACTAGGTGAGCAGGATCTGCTTAACCTCCCAGAGCACCTAAGCCTATGATTTTTTGTAGGTTTTGCGTTGCTCTATTACAATTTCAGGGGTTGTGATACTTGATTGCTTTAACAATGACACAAATAAATGTAACAAAACGGAATTTGCTAGGTTTTTTTTCACTCTTGTTTAATTTTTAACCAGTTAATAGCAAGTTCAGTGTGAGATTTTTTTGGTCAATTTGTAAACATTGTCTGTCCTTCCCTTTTAGACAAAGTTGTCATAAAATTTTATAAAATACAGCATCCATTTATACCCCCAAAATAGATGGAGTAACCAAGAAGCCAGTGAGAAACCAAAAGTAGATTGAGATTTCATAGCTCAATTAAGTTGTCAATTGATTTGAATACAAGTCAAACTAATTGAAACACTTTACAATTTTTATTACAATGCATCATAATTTCACATCAGCAGTGTAAATGCCGCCAAGGATGTCTTGTTCCAAAATTGTGCCAGATGTTCTCATTGAATAACCAACATGGACACCGTTACTATAAATAGAACATGCAAGCTGTATTCTCTGTTTTTGCTATGTTTATACATTAAGTAGAATAAGTTTCAGATAACCTGGGAGATCAATTACAGTTGCAAAATTTAAACTCAATGCCATTCCTTGGACTTCAAACATTGAATTGTTAGCTTACCTTAAAAGAAAAGAAAGGATATGGGTTATTCATCAATGACACAATATCAGTACATGCATACCAAAAAAAAACCTCCAAAAGCAGAGAAACAGTCCTTTTATTGCTGTTCTTCATCCCCAAGTCACAGTGAGGCCTTCAAAAAACCTCACGTCACTGCAAATTTAAGATGGCACCCAAGTATCGGTATTAGCAGAACTCTTTGCAAACTGATGTCATCATGCGACAACTGTTAATTGAAGAGCAAAGCCATGGATATTGGAGTAATATCAATAAAATAAATCAGTTAAAGAAATAACAAAAATTTACTGTCATAATTTAGCCTGACAATCACATTGAAGCCTGAAAAAAACAATACAAAACATTGAGACAACCACAGGGAACATCAAAATATATGTCAGATCACTTGGCAGGAAATAAGGTATGTATAGGGCAAATGATTTGGGTAGACTCTGTAAGATGTCACACCACCAACTTGCAGTTTAGTTGTAATTCAGTTTGTAGTGGTATAAGTGATAGTTTTATAATTTAGTTAAATTTCATTGTGTGGTGGTACAAGTAATACTTTTGGATTAGTTGAAAATCATTGTGTTGTGGTATAAGAAATGGTAGTTTAGGATCATCAGCTGAAATTCAGTGTAAGTCAGAGTTTTGGATTAGTTGAAAATCATTTGTGTAGTGGTGTAAGAGTTCCGATTTGTTGTTATTCGGTTTGTAGTGGTATAAGTAATAGTTTCAGATTACAAATGAGTTATATCTAACGACTGAAAGGTCAGTCAGACCATCTTAGCCATCTGTCCCTTTTATTTTCACTAGAAAAGCACGCTCAATACAGAAATCATATTATGTCATATCTGACTGAAAATTTCACCATGGAAATTCATTAGTAATCTAAAGTAGAACCATATAAAATATAAGATTCAAATAGTTTGTCATTGATATAAAGATAAGGAGATGTGGTAGGATTAGCACCAGAGTCCCAAGCCTAGGTTGATTGATTTGTGTTTGCTTAACATATAAGAATACATAACCCAATGCAGCTATGCTATACATTATTATGCTTTAATATCAAAACTTTAATTTTCATTCATTTCAAATATACACTGTACAGACACAATTGTAATAAATAACTAAATTGCACAAAATAAAATGAGTCATCGACAGTATCTTTACTTATTTTGATTCCAAAGAAATATGATGTCATAGCTGACACAGAAAACATGCCATAACAGAATCAACAGAGTATAGAATAAGATCTATCCGTACATCGACTGTCATATAAATGTCTGTTTCCTGATGTTCTTTTATTGTCTTCCTTCCATGCTAATCCTGTCTCCTCCCCTACAAAATCAAGAAAACATTTATTGATTCTTGTTTGTGGATGAATTGAAACTTCTGATCAGCTCTCACCAATTAATGTAGGAAATTTGTAACGATAAAAAAAATTGATCAAAGGGGGCGTGTGCCCTATACCATACCCCCTGATTTCACCACTGCTTTTAGTGACATTGTATGCTAGGGATAATTTTATGAAGCAGCAAATTAATGCTCTAGGCCTGAAACTCACCTGTGAGTATATTCCCTTAAGTACATTTCCTGATCCTATTACTATAAACCTGTGAGTATATTCTCTGACCCTATAACTAACCTGTGAGTATATTAAAACTATCTGATTGGATATATTCTGGGTATCCCTGGCCCTATAACTAACCTGTGAGTATATTCCCTGGCCATATTACTAACATGTGAGTATATTCCCGGACCCCATTACTAACCTGTGAATATATTCCCTGGCCCTGTTACTTACCTGTGAGTATATTACTTTCTCTGATTGGATATATTCTGGGTATCCCTGACCCTATAACTAACCTGTGAGTATATTATAACTTTCTCTAATTGGATATCCTCTAGGTACACCGGGCCCTAACAGGTTCCCTAATTTATTATGTGTCCTATTGTATTGTGTGAAGTAACTCTGTGGAGACTGGTCCGGTTTGACAACTTTCTTCATCTCTCCACCCTCAGTCTGGTCTATTCTGTTTCTCAGTGATATTAAATGAAGTCTATTGGCCTGCAATATAACAGTTAGTTGCCAGTAACATACACTATGCAAATAAAGTTTATTCAGCTTATAACTAATATGAAGGTTTACAGATAAATTTGCTTGCAGTGAATTAAAATTCCAAAAGAAGGTTAAAGAAGAATATTTGTTCAAAGACACCATGAGTAGTAAAAGGGTAGTTTTCACTTGTCATTTGTGGTGTTTGGTGCGGCGGTGAACCCGTGCCTCCAACACCACAAATTGTAAGTGAAAACCACCTCTATACTTCTACTATGCCCAGCTCACACGATCACGTTTCCATGTTCAATGAGCTGCCAAATCTGGATCAAAACATATTTAAGATTCACATCACAATGAAATATATGGACTAAGTAGTTTCAAATTGATGTTTAAGCAAGGAACAATCAATCATTCAATACAGTTGATGTAACCCCAACTTTATGGTAAACTACTTTAACGGATACAGACAGTGAAACGTTATGCCCCACTTCTGTCGTAGGTAGGACATCAACGGATACAGACAATGAAACGTTATGCCCCACTTCTGTCGTAGCTAGGGCGTTAACGGATACAGACAGTGAAACGTTATGCCCCTCTTCTGTCGTAGGTAGGGCGTTAACGGATACAGACAGTGAAACGTTATGCCCCTCTTCTATCGTAGGTAGGACGTTAACGGATACAGACAGTAAAACGTTATGCCCCACTTCTGTCGTAGGTAGGACGTTAACGGATACAGACAGTAAAACGTTATGCCCCACTTCTGTCGTAGGTAGGACGTTAACGGATACAGACAGTGAAATGTTATGCCCCACTTCTGTCGTAGGTAGGACGTTAACGGATACAGACAGTTAAACGTTATGCCCCACTTCTGTCGTAGGTAGGACGTCAACGGATACAGACAATGAAACGTTATGCCCCTCTTCTGTCGTAGGTAGGGCGTTAACGGACAGAGACAGTGAAACGTTATGCCCCACTTCTGTCGTAGGTAGGACGTTAACGGATACAGACAGTAAAACGTTATGCCCCACTTCTGTCGTAGGTAGGGCGTTAACGGATACAGACAGTGAAACGTTATGCCCCACTTCTGTCGTAGGTAGGACGTTAACGGATACAGACAGTGAAACGTTATGCCCCACTTCTGTCGTAGGTAGGGCGTTAACGGATACAGACAGTGAAATGTTATGCCCCTCTTCTGTCGTAGGTAGGACGTTAACGGACATAGACAATGAAACGTTATGCCCCACTTCTGTCGTAGGTAGGACTTTAACGGATACAGACAGTAAAACGTTATGCCCCACTTCTGTCGTAGGCAGGACGTTAACGGATACAGACAGTGAAACGTTATGCCCCACTTCTGTCGTAGGCAGGACGTTAACGGATACAGACAGTGAAACGTTATGCCCCTCTTCTGTCGTAGGTAGGACGTTAACGGATACAGAGAGTGAAACGTTATGCCCCACTTCTGTCGTAGGTAGGACGTCAAGGGATACAGACAGTGAAACGTTATGCCCCACTTCTGTCGTAGGTAGGATTTTAACAGATACAGACAGTGAAACGTTATGCCCCTCTTCTGTCGTAGGTAGGACGTTAACAGATACAGACAGTGAAACGTTATGCCCCACTTCTGTCGTAGGTAGGACGTTAACGGATACAGACAGTGAAACGTTATGCCCCACTTCTGTCGTAGGTAGGACTTTAACGGATACAGACAGTGAAACGTTATGCCCCACTTCTGTCGTAGGTAGGACGTTAACGGATACAGACAGTGAAACGTTATGCCCCACTTCTGTCGTAGGTAGGACTTTAACGGATACAGACAGTGAAACGTTATGCCCCACTTCTGTCGTAGGTAGGACGTTAACGGATACAGACAGTAAAACGTTATGCCCCACTTCTGTCGTAGGTAGGACGTTAACGGATACAGACAGTGAAACGTTATGCCCCACTTCTGTCGTAGGTAGGACTTAAACGGATACAGACAGTAAAACGTTATGCCCCACTTATGTCGTAGGTAGGACTTTAACGGATACAGACAGTGAAACGTTATGCCCCACTTCTGTCGTAGGTAGGGCGTTAACGGATACAGACAGTGAAACGTTATGCCCCACTTCTGTCGTAGGTATGACTTTAACGGATACAGACAGTGAAACGTTATGCCCCACTTCTGTCGTAGGTAGGACGTTAACGGATACAGACAATGAAACGTTATGCCCCACTTCTGTCGTAGGTAGGGCGTTAACAGATACAGACAGTGAAACGTTATGCCCCTCTTCTGTCGTAGGTAGGACTTTAACGGATACAGACAATGAAACGTTATGCCCCACTTCTGTCGTAGGTAGGACGTTAACGGATACAGACAATGAAACGTTATGCCCCACTTCTGTCGTAGGTAGGGCGTTAACAGATACAGACAGTGAAACGTTATGCCCCTCTTCTGTCGTAGGTAGGACTTTAACGGATACAGACAATGAAACGTTATGCCCCACTTCTGTCGTAGGTAGGACGTCAACGGATACAGACAGTGAAACGTTATGCCCCACTTCTGTCGTAGGTAGGACGTCAACGGATACAGACAGTGAAACGTTATGCCCCACTTCTGTCGTAGGTAGGACTTTAACGGATACAGACAGTGAAACGTTATGCCCCACTTCTGTCGTAGGTAGGACGTCAACGAATACAGACAGTAAAACGTTATGCCCCTCTTCTGTCGTAGGTAGGACGTTAACAGATACAGACAGTAATACGTTATGCCCCACTTCTGTCGTAGGTAGGACTTTAACGGATACAGACAGTGAAACGTTATGCCCCACTTCTGTCGTAGGTAGAACGTCAACGGATACAGACAGTAAAACGTTATGCCCCTCTTCTGTCGTAGGTAGGACGTTAACGGATACAGACAGTGAAACGTTATGCCCCACTTCTGTCGTAGGTAGGACGTTAACGGATACAGACAGTGAAACGTTATGCCCCACTTCTGTCGTAGGTAGGGCGTTAACGGATATAGACAGTGAAACGTTATGCCCCACTTCTGTCGTAGGTAGGGCGTTAGCGGATACAGACAGTGAAACGTTATGCCCCACTTCTGTCGTAGGTAGGACGTTAACGGATACAGACAGTAAAACGTTATGCCCCACTTCTGTCGTAGGTAGGACGTTAACGGATACAGACAGTAAAACGTTATGCCCCACTTCAGGGTGTTAACGGATACAGACAGTAAAACGTTATGCCCCACTTCTGTCGTAGGTAGGACGTTAACGGATACAGACAGTGAAACGTTATGCCCCACTTCTGTCGTAGGTAGGACTTTAACGGATACAGACAGTGAAACGTTATGCCCCACTTCTGTCGTAGGTAGGACTTTAACAGATACAGACAGTAAAACGTTATGCCCCACTTCTGTCGTAGGTAGGGCGTTAACAGATACAGACAGTGAAACGTTATGCCCCACTTCTGTCGTAGGTAGGACGTTAACGGATACAGACAGTGAAACGTTATGCCCCTCTTCTGTCGTAGGTAGGGCGTTAACGGATACAGACCATGAAACGTTATGCCCCACTTCTGTCGTAGGTAGGACACAATAGCTTTGTGAAGATCAGGTAGAACAATTATGATAGAACACATGTACAAATTATTCTACAAACTTCTAATTAACACTTTTAAATAAAATACCTTCCCTAATCTTTTCCCTTCAAAAATATATTTCGTATCGGGATAATAAGTTAACTATTAACTAACTGGTCTGAATACTGTCAAAACAGAAATATAAGTGTGCATAAATAAAATTGAGAATGGAAATGGGGAATATGTCAAAGAGACAACAACCCGACCAAAGAGCAGACAACAGCCGAAGGCCACCAATGGGTCTTCAATGCAGCGAGAAAATCCCGCACCCGGAGGTGGTCCTCAGCTGGCCCCTAAATAAAATTGTGTGCTTATTCAGTGAAAATGGACGTCACCCTAAACTCCAACCAATTGAAAGGAGCAATTGTGGCGTCCAGAATATGAACCAGCAAACAGGAATATAAAAAAGTAAAAATGATAAAACTGTTCGGCTAAAGACGTCAAACGCTATCCGTCATTAAGTACCCGACAAAATACGTTAACAACAAAACTTGAGGACAAAAAACAAAAGACAGGGTAAATGAAATAAGACAACATGGACTGGTGACATCGCTTCATTGTTACAGAGACTTCTATAACCATGTGTTATAGTAGTCTTAGATTGTCACGAGAAAAGCCTCGGAGCAAGTAAACTGCGGGCGTTTCAAGCAAATTTACAATCAACAATAGATTTTAATGGACTGATAAAAATTGTAGGACTTAAAATTTAAAATGAACATTAGAGTGTATTGTGACGTCTCGCGATTAAATCTGGTATACTGTTAATTTGATGGTAGATTTATATTGATCTGAACTAAATTGACGGGCTCTATAAATTATAGAGCCAGATACGATCCATCTAAACTCAGTGATTCTTTGAATAAACATATTCTTAAAGGTTATCAATTTAACACATTAGTAAAATCTGTAAACATTGATTTTATCGGTACTAACATTGATTTTCAAGTACATCAAGTATATTGTTCAACAGCAAGGTGTCTATTATTTGTATGGTAGTTGTTTGTGTGCGTCGTACCGATCTGCAGCTGATTTTTACAGTTTGTTCTAAAGTTGTGCTGTTACACCACCGTCCAGGTTAAGAGGAAGGGTAAGCGCTCATAAACATGTTTAAGCCGGCCACATTCTTTATGTACCTATCCCAAGTCAGGATCCTATAGCTCAGTGGTCTTCGTTGGTTCATGTCTGTCATATTTGTTTTTCGCAAATTGTTTTGTTATGAATTGGGTCGATAGTTTTCTCATTTTGAATTGGTTTACAGTTTTCCGTGTCGGGTCCTTTTATAAGCGACTATACAAGTTTTTTTCTCATTGGTGAAGGCCGTAGGTGACCGTTAATTGCTTATATCCACTTGTTTGAACTCTGGTGAATAGTTGTCTTTTTGGCAATCATACCACTCCTTATTTTTATATATATATAATGCGATGACATCTCTTACCACTTAATTTTTTCTATCACACCCATTTATAATGATCTGTGCTACATTTAAGACCAAATGTGATGGCATCCCTTACTACTTGATGTTTTCTATCACTAATAATATCTTTCTTACATTGTGATTAAACCCTCTACCAATGAGTAAATATTCGTCAATGTTCTATCACTAATAATATCTTTCTTGCATTGTGATTAAACCCTCTACCAAAGAGTAAATATTTGTCAATGTTCTATCACTAATAATATCTTTCTTACATTGTGATTAAACCCTCCTCTAACAATGAGTAAATATTTGTCATATGTTTTTTTTTCATCAATCTTAAAAATTTACCACTGCTTGCCCTGTTAAAGTTTATTAGTTGAGGGAGAAATGTTGGATGAGAATCTGTTCAAATATTGTTAAACATCCAAGCCTTTTCGACATAACTCATTTGGAAAGAATTTTTGTTTTATGAAACAGTTTTTACGGTAGATTAATTGATAGGTTGCTGTCTGGCCTACATCTGACATCATATCACACATAGACAGAATTTGGTGAATATAAGGCGCCGTTGTCTACTGATGATTTTAAACATGGTTCTCCGTTGATTTTTCAGAAAGAAGTAAGTCTGGTGCTAGTTTGGCACACTATTAATTGACTTCAAGTTTCTGACGAAATTGTTTTTTTTATTAAAGTTACCGTGCATTTGGTTTTAACTGACAAAACAGACATAAGAATGAAAAGAAATAAATGTAAATGAAATTTAAAGTGAACCTATTTAACAGCATATTGTATACCGACAATACATTACAGCGATATTTAGAATTTTTAGAGCGTGATAAATGAACATTGACGACAAAATGACTACTTAAATGTACGTTAAAATTATGTAACAGCATTGTGCAAACAAAATATCTTCCTTTACAACCTATAACATGCACTCCAACAAACATGTCCCAGACAAATTATACATACCGGTAATTGATCAGTCTATATTCACAGAACAAATACACAGTTATATTAGTACATGATTTACAACATTTAATTCAATATATGTAAACAAGAAGAAAAATTTATAGCACGGATCTTGTGGGTTTATATAACAAAATGAATACGTTGTTTATAGCACGGATCTTGGTGGTATTCTATAACAAACTGAACTCGTTGCTTATTGCACACCAGACCTAGGCAAAGATTGAGTTTTAATTACGGACTTTTGATGAGGGGTGTTTCGCGAATGCTTTTCGTCAACCTAAGTAAAATTATCTTAGCTACAAATCACGATATATTTTGGCCGTATGGAACTGAACTTTAAAAGGGGTATCCGTTTTACATATAATAAACCCCTGAGATGAACAGTTTGTTCTTATGTGTGGTACTAACCACTGTCCCTGTTAGAGCTCGCACACGTGTTTATCCCTCTACATACTAACTGCTGTCCCTGTTAGAGCTCGCACACGTGTTTATCCCTCTACATACTAACTGCTGTCCCTGTTAGAGCTCGCACACATGTTTATCCCTCTACATACTAACCGCTGTCCCTGTTAGAGCTCGCACACATGTTTATCCCTCTACATACTAACTGCTGTCCCTGTTAGAGCTCGCACACGTGTTTATCCCTCTACATACTAACCGCTGTCCCGGTTAGAGCTCGCACACATGTTTATCCCTCTACATACTAACCGCTGTCCCTGTTAGAGCTCACACACATGTTTATACCTCTACATACTAACTGCTGTCCCTGTTAGAGCTCGCACACATGTTTATCCCTCTACATACTAACCGCTGTCCCGGTTAGAGCTCACACACATGTTTATCCCTCTACATACTAACCGCTGTCCCGGTTAGAGCTCACACACATGTTTATCCCTCTGCATACTAACTGCTGTCCCGGTTAGAGCTCGCACATGGGTTTATCCCTCTGCATACTAACCGCTGTCCCTGTTAGAGCTCGCACACATGTTTATCCCTCTGCATACTAACTGCTGTCCCTGTTAAAGATCGCACACATGTTTATCCCTCTACATACTAACTGCTGTCCCGGTTAGAGCTCGCACACATGTTTATCCCTCTGCATACTAACCGCTGTCCCGGTTAGAGCTCGCACACATGTTTATCCCTCTACATACTAACCGCTGTCCCTGTTAGAGCTCGCACATATGTTTATCCCTCTACATACTAACCGCTGTCCCGGTTAGAGCTCACAGACATGTTTATCCCTCTACATACTAACTGCTGTCCCTGTTAGAGCTCGCACACATGTTTATCCCTCTACATACTAACCGCTGTCCCGGTTAGAGCTCACACACATGATTATCCCTCTGCATACTAACTGCTGTCCCGGTTAGAGCTCGCACATGTGTTTATCCCTCTACATACTAACCGCTGTCCCGGTTAGAGCTCGCACACATGTTTATCCCTCTACATACTAACCGCTGTCCCGGTTAGAGCTCGCACACATGTTTATCCCTCTACATACTAACCGCTGTCCCGGTTAGAGCTCGCACATATGTTTATCCCTCTACATACTAACTGCTGTCCCTGTTAGAGCTCGCACACATGTTAATCCTTCTACATACTAACCGCTGTCCCGGTTAGAGCTCGCACACATGTTTATCCCTCTACATACTAACCGCTGTCCCGGTTAGAGCTCGCACACATGTTTATCCCTCTACATACTAACTGCTGTCCCGGTTAGAGCTCGCACACATGTTTATCCCTCTGCATACTAACCGCTGTCCCGGTTAGAGCTCACAGACATGTTTATCCCTCTACATACTAACCGCTGTCCCGGTTAGAGCTCACACACATGTTAATCCTTCTACATACTAACCGCTGTCCCGGTTAGAGCTCACACACGTTTATCCCTCTACATTCTGTATTTCAGTGGTTGTGGTTGGTTGCTGTCTGCCATGTTTATATTTGTTTATTGGTTTGTTTATTTACTAGGCCGTTAGTTTTTCGTATGAGTTGTTTTAAATTTTGTTATGTCGGAGCCTTTTATAGCTTACTATACTATATGGGTTTTGCTAATTGTTGATGGCCAGTGGTGATGTCAACGTATATTTGTTCCGCCTAACAGAAGTTCCACTGGAAACTTTGTTATAAACAATATCATAATATCTGTTCCTGTTGGAACAAATATTCTATACCATTTATTCCGTTAGGAACATTTACTGTAATATTTATTCCAGTGGAAATAATATTCCAGAATACTGTTTCCATTTGGAACTTATATTATGAAGGAACTTGTATTCCGTGACAGTGACCTCTACGTCATTTGGTGGATAGTTGTATCATTGACAATCAAACAACACCTTTTTATTTTTTTATATTGGGGTGCCATTTTCGTTTTGTGTTTGATCACCTCGTCTGTCTCGTATTTAATTACCCCATACCGTCTTACGTTAAGGGAGTGCGTAGGAATATGGTATGGTAGTATGGCTCTGTTGTATCATATTATCATATTTTTCTAGGAAATAAGTTCGGCACTTAAGTGATAACTGTTAAGGTCAGACAAGAATTCTCCTCCATTGACGTTCACTGTATTCGTTATGAATTCTAACTGGTTTTCCAGACGTATTAACAGGTTTTTGTTTTCTATTTTTAAAAGAATAGTTAAATAGCTGTAGCAAATAATGAAAAAAAGGTAAAGAACCTAAAAGTATATATGTGCAGATCAGATCTTTTCAATCAAACGTTTAAAAAAACCAGATATAGATATTTAATTTTTTATAAGATATTTTCAATTGTTGCCCAAGTCCTTCTTTATTGTTAATTCAATAGAACCTGACTGTAACGTTTGTGTTGGTTATCAAACAGTTTGTCCCTCCTCCCCACCTTCCCAATGACCCATAGACGCTCCAAGAAAATATGCGTTTTGTCTCCGATAATTTTGAATGAGACTAAAGATTGCTATACCAAATCGAAAACAAGAAGTCCTCTCTATCAAATATAACTCCTCCTGGAAAGTGTATGCATCTGACCAGGAATACATAGTCATTTTGTCCTAACAGCGTTTTTTCGATTCCCCATACCCCAAGAGACTCCGATTAGTTTTATCAATCTCTATTTCACGGATTTTCTTGTTTTCAACACTTTAACAGAAATGTGCAAAGACGAAAACTGGTGAGCAAAACGCGAGGACAGTCATGTGACCTTTAAGGTCATATGTACTGGACTTATGATCAACTTTGCTTAGGGGAATTGAGACCTTAATGTTCGGTTAGTTCAAAATTGATCAACTTAAATTCATTTTCGTGGGTAATGGTTTGATACAAATGATATTTTGGCTAACGGATTGCTACAAATGATAATTTGGGTAATAGTTCGATACAAAGTTTATAAATAATGTTACTTTACTAAAATTAAGCTTTTAACTCTCTATAGCAATATTGACGAAAGTGAAATTAGCAACTCTTGTTTCGGACCTTTTGTTTTATTTTGGATTCCAAACTTAAGGTCTCGAGCATACTTGATGGTTGATTGATTGATTGGTGTTTGCTATATGTCCAGTGGCAAATATTTCATTTATATTCAGGACAAATATATCAATATCATTACGCGTCTCATGATGGTTAATCTAGAAATGAGCGTCGAGCGCACACATGGGTATTTATTTGATTCTTATAACAGTACGGACGACTACTTACAGGTACAATGTCTTTCTCTCTGTAGGTACCAGTGTAATCTGTATCCCATCCCTTCTTCTCATCGGAAGGATGGGCCATTTTAATCTGAGAACGGTGCATAGACGGACATAATGGCGGTCGTCGTACTGGGTTTAAACTTTTACTCCCGCTAAAATACTGAAAAAGATACAAATATTTGGATGAAGTATCGTAACCCAGATGTAAAGATCTGGATTAATATTGCTTCATGGTAATATGGTCGATCCCATTCCACAGATTGGTATTGCTTCATAGTAATATGGTCGATCCCTTTCCACAGATTTCTGTACTGTGTACGACGCCAATTGGTTTGTTACGGACCGATTGCAGTCGTGATATTTTACGATTTTGAAATGAAATTTATTTCCTAAGAGTTTTAATGGTTTTATCAGGTAGAATTCGGTCCCAAAGTGTCGGATAGCTTTACATCTTTTGACTGGAGGATGGCATGTTGGGATAAAGTACGGTTGCAGGAAATTTCTTCAACGGCTATGATACATTGTCGGTAAAACTATTGCAATCAAAATATATAAAATATCTAATGGATTCGTCTTAAAGTATTTTCTAATAATATTTAAATATTTTGTCAGAATTCTTTTTATACTGCTAATCTTCAACCACCACTTTGTTGAACAAAATATAAATTTGAATGGGCAGAATTTTAAACATGAAAATCTTTTAAAGCAAGATATAGAATTGTTTCTATATTGTTCATCCCACAAAAACCCTTCCGAGTGGAAAAATATCACGGTAGATTGGGTAACCTTGAAACTGAATAAAAGAATGAATACAATTTTGCAAACTCTTACCTCATCCGTGGTTTCCATTTTATATCCTTGATAGGATTAAGAACGATTTGTTGTAATCCTTATTTTACTAAAGTAATATGAATATTAAGGTATATATTTAATCTTTAATACATTTAAAAAGTGTTAAAAATACTAACATGTTAAAACCTATTCATGGATCAATTTTTAAGTGATATGTAAATTTCCATTATTGGTATACTTATTAAAGTAAAGTTTTCTATCACGATATCTAAATACAAGATCTGAGCAGGTAATACTTGAAATAATACGATGATGGTGTCAGAGAAAGTTTCATGTGTTACTTTCCAACTAAGTAGGTTGTGTCATAGGCATGGTCAGAAATCTAAGGGTATACATATATAAAAAAAAGTTGTTGATGAGAGATCTGTTCGTAATAATTATAACTTTCCATCTTTCTTTTTCAAATACTAATGATGTTGTTACGTTTCATTTAAGAGACTTGTTCGAACTATTTGGGGAAAGAATATAGGATTGATTAGATAACATTTATCTCGCTTTCAGTGACATTCCTTTAAGGCGAGTTAAAAAAAAAAGCTATTATTTTTCAACGGAATTCGCGGTGTAGTCGTTTTTGCTGTTGTCAAACTTGGTATTGTTGTACTTTGTAGAGAAAGATATGTGATTAGAACTGTATTGTTAGTTTTGTGGAGAATGATGTTTGATATGAAAAATAGCAGAGCTTGACTTTATTACAAAAAAAAAAATAATAATTGCGTGAGCAATAAAAACACACAGACAGCCTAGCAAAATCTCAATTTAGACATGTTAAATATCTTTTGATATGAATTTACCCATTTATTTTGATTGAGATTTAATGATATATTAAATGTCCTAATTGAGATAGCTATTGACTCTATAGAGAACAATCAATAAGAAATGTTGTATTTTAAAGGTCACTTTAAAAAAATGAACATGCATAAGCCTTTTAAAAAAAAAGACACATATTGGAACCATAAACCCGGTAATCAAAGACAAATAAATAATTCATTTATTTATTTATTTATTTATTTATTTATTTATTTATTTATTTATTTATTTATTTATTTATTTATTTATTTATTTATTTATTTATTTATTTATTTATTCCTTCAGTCGTTCATTTGTTCATTCATGCATTCGAATACGAAAGACAACTAGAGGTCATCATACGATCTTAACAATAGACAAGTGTCCTATTTGAGAGGTCAACCTCTTAATCGCTCCAAGAGCCGAGCCATATTTGTACTTTTCTTATTATTATCTAATCATTTTGTTTTTCTAATCTTTAAAACTACATGTGGAATTTGTCTATAAAGTAAATCAATGTGAAACTGTGTGAGATGACTTAAGTTATCGACGATATTGAATTAACACTTCAATTCTGAAGAGATCATAAACTGCCTTGTCAAGATAAAACTAACCATCTCCATATCATAGTAACAAAGGCATGATGAATTAACGTTTTATAACGATATTTAGAGAGGACTGAAGCGTTTTACTTTCTTGTAGTCACAAACTCGTAAATTTATATCTGACGAGATCATGTTGTTCCATACAAAGTTTTACTGGTTGCAAATTAAACTAGAGGTTTCTAAAGAGTCCGTGTCGTTCACCTAATTCTATGTGCATCTTCAACTATGTCCACTCTCCAACATTGTAGACTGCATTATGATTCATGAATAAAATCTCTTTTTTGTTAATCTTGTGTTGGTGATACATTTTTTTCAGTTTACAGTTTCATTCTATCTTCTATCGTTCCCAAAAACAAAAGGGTAAAATTCGTGATTTAAGGGCAATAACTCCTTTATGAAGACAATTTCATCTATGCTGACCTTTCTGCAAATATTGTCTTGTTGATCATTTTTGCTTTTTGAAGTTTCCATTATCTTTTATATTCTTCAAGATAATAGGCAAAACACGAAAAATAGTCGAAATGGTCATTTAAGGGCAATGAATCCTTTGAGGATGTCAACTGACAATTTTAACCCAAGTTGACTAATTGGTAGATCTTGTCTTGCCGATCATTTTTGCCTTTTTAAGTTTCTATCTATCTGTTATAATTTTGAACATAATAAGTATCAAATGTTGATTTATACGTAGATCTTGTCTTGCTGATACATTTTGCTATTAAAAATTTCTGTCTATCTATTATAATTTTCAAGATAATAGGCAAAAATATTTTAAAAAATAGTAAAATTCGTTATTTAAGGGCATAACTCCTATAAGAAGTCGTTTAAGAGCTTTGATGTAGATCGACAATCGTAAGTTACATCTCAACATTCCAAACATTTTTGATCTATCCAAAGCAGTTTTCAAGATAAAACACAAAATTTGAATTTTACCCATATGTTCTATTTTAAGTCATATCGGCCATGTTGGTGGCAGGCGGGGTCATCGAACACATTTTTCAAAACTTGATACCACTAATATTGTGGTCAATTTTGTTTAAATGTGGCCCAGTAGTTTCAAAAAAAGAAGCTTTTGAAAAGAAAACGGACGACGACGACGACGACGACGGACAACGACGAAAGACAACGGACGCCAAGTGATAGGGAAAAGCTCGCACTGGCACTTTGGCCCAGATGAGCTTTGAAAGTATTAGTGTGAATTCATCATGTAAAAATATAGTATAAAAAAGGACAAATTATACCAAGCAGTGCTCTTATATAAATCTATTTATAAAAGGGAAGATATCCAAATCCCAAAAGCTTTTATTGAGAAAAACTGGGATGACAAAAAAAATGTGAGGCAGTCCTGAGATTCAGCGTTCTAACGGATTCTTCAAACGACAACTCGAATGTAATTGACTTAATGTAAATATTGATACGAGATATATACTCGTTTTTTGTTTGTTTTATATGTGGAAAGTAAACACCACAAGTACAAATTATTTATTAATCCGGTCATTCAACATTATGACGAATGATTTAAATGTATATTTTATATTTGCCGTGATCGCTTAATTCGATGAATTCCAGACAATGGTCTTGATACTCAGGATATAAATGAAAACGGACTGAATTCGCGATTACCTCTTTCTACTCGCTGAGACCTAATGTTTCGGAGTTGTTTAGTTCTATTGTATAGCCTGAGTGGGGTACACAGAAAAACATTAAAAACACCAACAGATATATTGAAATATTCTTTTCAGTGATTTTGAAGATTTATTTTTTAAAATACTTTTTTATTCCGTTTACTTTAGCTAAAGAAGATTTTGACATACAGTGGTTTCATGAGAGGTAGTTTTGATAAAAAAAAGTAATTAAACTTCTCAAAACTAAATTTATCGAATTCAATAACGGGTTTAAGGTTTTAAATGCAAGAAATCAACAACGTATAAAATTTCACCATTAACGTGGAAAAATCATTAACATCTAAATGATATTATAGAAATTGGTTTAAATGAATTCTATCTTATTCTAAATGGGTTCTAGATCATGTGAGTCGAATACAAACAGTGATTATTAAATAAATGAATTAAAAGGACAGCAGGAATTACCCAAAGTATTGCACAGTACAACAGATCTCAGCAACCACCAGCAACCAACTCCGAGAGAAATCAATGCAAGCGTAGACAAACAACAAACAAAGGCCAAGACATATTACAGATAGCCTGGCTTGGTACAATGGGGTTAAATAAGTTTTTCCTGCGACAATCCTCCCACCTTTGTACTTTAAGTGGAGATATGGTGTATTTATGACACAAAATCCTTTTACTGGTAAATTCAACAAAAAACATTACGGATCTTACAGCCACACACAAATATCGCTTCGGTGGTCTCGCAGCAGCGTTCTCGCCTCGAGTGTGGGAGGTCGTGGGTCAAAACTGTCTACATACCCGGTCTTGTTCATTTTTTGGCTCCCTCAGTTTCTGTTTTGGCTCGTGCGATTCCCTCAGTATCTGTTTGTTACCTTGATTTGTCTTTTCCGAATCGATTTACGAGATTTTAACATCGGTCAAATACTGTCGCCTTAATTTCAAATCAAAGACTTCAACAAAATTGAATTTTCTGCCTCTCCGCTAAGCACACGGCATTTATGATTAAGATCAAAGACTGGTCGACTCGGAATTAAAGATATTTTTGAGTGTGACGTCCATTTTCGCTGAACTAGTATATTTTATTGTTTTGGGGCCAGCTGAAGTCCGCCTCCGGGTGCGGGATTTTATCGTTGTATTGAAGACCCATTGTTGGCCTTTTGCTGTTTTCTGCTCTTTGGTCGGGTTGTTGTCTCTTTGACACATTCTCCGTTTCCATTCTCAATTTTATTTTATTTTCCAAATTATGTCACCAGGGGGGCATACACATATAACAAAATAATCTTTTACATCATACAGTATTTTACATAACATTCGTATAATTCCATTCTCAATTTTATTTTATTTTCCAAATTATGTCACCAGGGGGGCATACACATATAACAAAATAATCTTTTACAACATACAGTATTTTACATAACATTCGTATAATACACCTAACTATTGATATAGAGTGATCCAGGCTATTATATGTTAAAGAGTTGCTACTCCGGAGATGTGGCAAATGTCCTCTCAGTTGATTTTACAATAATGTGTCCGGGTAGGTGATATGTTTTCTTGTGAACTGTTTGTTACCTTATGAACTATCCCGACTCAGCGTGTCGGTCTAGCACAAAGAAGGACAAAGTAATGAAGAAGAAATTAAAGAATTATAAACCGTTAGTGTATCAGGTTAACGGTACTATAGAATGATATTTTAATCATGTTTACAGTAGGAAGTTAACGGCACAATAGAATAAAACGTGAATTATACATAAGGAGGTTAACGATACCATAGAATAAAAGTTAATAATTTGTACAGTAGGACATAAACGGTACCATATAATAAATGTTCACAGTGGGAGGTGAACGGTATCATAGAATAAAACGCGAATCATTTTTACTGTAGGGGGTTGACGGTACCATAGGAAACAAAACGTGAATCATACAGCAGGAGGTTAACGGTACTATAGAATAAACGTAGATCATGCATTAGGAGGTTAACGGAACAATAAAATGAAACGTGAATCATTTGTACAGTAGGAGGTTAACGCTACTAAAGAATGATACGTGAATCATACGATAGGAGGTGAACATTACTATAGAATAAACGTGAATCATTCAGTAGGACGTTTACGGTACCTAGATTAAAACGCAGATCTTACCGTACCAATAAAAACAAACGTGAATCATTTGTACAGTAGGAGGTTAGTGGTACTATAAAATAAACGTGAATCATATATTAGGAGGTTAACGGAACAATAGAATGAAACGTGTACACATGTACAGTAGGAGGTTAGTGGTACTATAAAATAAACGTGAATCATATATTAGGAGGTTAACGGAACAATAGACTGATAAAAACGTAGGTCTTAATGCAGGCTGTTAACGGTACCATATAATGAAATGCAAGTCCAAGGTAATATAGAGATCTTAACCATGGAGGTTTGGAGCTTAACATGACCCTCGAAACAGTCCAAAAGAATAATATTTAAACCATGGATTAAGAAGCGCAGTGATACATGTACATAGAATAAGACTTAGTCATATTTGTTTTTCGTTTAAATATTGTTTTGTACATATATCAAGCCGTTAGTTTTCTCGTTTGAATTGTTTTAGATTTGACAGTTCGGGGCCTTTTGTCGCTTACTATGCGGCATGGGTTTTGCTCATTGTTAAAGGCCAAACGGTAACCTGTAGTTATTAACTTCTACGTCACTTGGTCTCGGGTAGAGAGTTGTCTCATTGGCAATCTTACCACATCTTCTTCTCTATATTGACACACATAGATTAAACATGTTGACAGGTGTCCGCAGTGAACTAGCAAAGGTTCAGAGTAGTTGTTATATACTAGTTTGGTTGTCAACGTACCGACTTGATTTTCTTCTTCATGAAAACATATCAATACGTAATGCCAACTTTTCCATGAGTAAATTATCTCTTACTTGTGTGATACGGAATGCCAACTGTTCCAAGAGTAAATTATCTCTTACTTGTGTGATATGGAATGCCAACTTTTCCATGAGTAAATTATCTCTTACTTGTGTGATACGGAATACCAACTGTTCCAAGAGTAAATTATCTCTACTTGTGTGATACGGAATACCAACTGTTCCATGAGTTAATTATCTCTTACTTGTGTGATACGGAATTCCAACTGTTCAATAAGTAAATTATCTCTTACTTGTGTGATACGGAATTCCAACTGTTCCACGGGTAAATTATCTCTACTTGTGTGATACGAAATACCAACTGTTCCATGAGTAAATGATCTCTTAATTGTGTGATACGATTTGAAATTTAATTGTATGATAGACAATGACGAGACATTGTATCATTAAGTGAGGAATGCTTACCACTTTTTTTGCATGTGAGATTATAAATAACAGAAAATAGCTTGAAAAAACTTCTTTCAAATACGCTCCTGCGTTGTCTATAAATGGACTCAGTTGCACCTCAAATACAATTTTTGAGGGAACTATCAAGCTTAAGTTTATTTTTTTCCCAAAGTATCCTCATCCTAAGATTAATTCACACCTACCTGTTTAGCTGTAGTTTTATACTCCTCATGTGAGTTCCACGGTGGTTTAGTTATAGTGAGTGTACTCCTATGCATGGGTCTTGCACCTCGTCCATAGGTATACGGTGCAGATTTAATCCTATCATTATAACTTGTGGAGGACACTATAGGGTAAACGTATCCACCTTCAGTTAAGATTGTTGTGGCACATTTTCCTTGTCCGTGACCCAGTACTTTTGGGGAATAAGCTTCAGTTTTCATATTAACATTTACTGGCAAAACTTTGGCACATAAAAAGAATATATTTTTTTAAGTGTAAATCCTCTCTACATTTTAACTTTAAAATCTGATATAACGACAGTTAAACAATCCCAATTGTAAATTAAATCAAATTTGTGACCTAATGAATTGTCATTACCAAATCAATCGAGTCGGTTATACAGGTGTAGCATGTTTACCTGTTATAAATTAGTTAATACCTGACGACCAAATACTTCTAAAATACCTGTGACGTTTTAACTTTTTTACTAATACTATCAATTCCGGCAGTTAGTAGTAAATAATTTAAGAAAACATTTGATATACCTCATTGAATAGATATCCAGGGGAGCTATTGTTATTGTTTATTAGTCTGCTTCGTGTACGTTCCGTAATCTGGAATCCGTTATTGATGAATTAATTCGATCTGCTCAATTAACTCCATTGTTAATCATAGATATGTTATCAATAGAATAATCAATGTGCTATGTTACTACTGTTACACGAAAGCAATTAAAAATATTGATAAAAAAATGTCTCAAAATTACTAAGATTTATTTAAATCACATAAAGGCATGTTCATCACCGGGGTCATGGAAAAATACAATGGTAGATTGATATCTCATGGAAGAGAATCATCTAGGGTAAACATATAACCATATACAAGTAAGGAGGTATGGACACCTAAAGCAATAATTTATATAACCACAGACCAGGGAGGGGGTCCCTCTTTGCCGCTGTGTAATCCTCTACAAAACGGATATAATTGGTATAATCAGAGAACTGACATACTGTTTACTCGGATGACTCAAATATCCAATGACTAGAATCCCCATCCTCTGTAGACAGCTAGATGTAACTTACAGTAGTCTTACCTCCACCGTCAAATATTTAAATAACATTTTCGACGATAGAATATTTTAAAAGTAAATCAATTTGGTAGGTATTGTGGGAACAATCGGAGTGTCAAAAGGGATAACTGAAAAGAGAAAGATGCAAGGTACTGTCTGAAAGCTGGATAATCAATACAATAAATGTTCATAGTCAAATTGTGTATAAATTGTCGAACTGACATCCTCCCGTGAATGGGTCTTTCTACAAGACTGGAGAAGTTAAAATGACAATTATTCAATACTCATGTGACCCTTGCTTGTATATACGTCTTCCATACACAGCTTATACCTTTCATATTTTCAACACTGTCTTTTATGGTTGTTTAATTCGATCTTCATATTTAGGCAAGACCTGAATTGAGTTAATGTCGTTAAATGACGATTCTTCAATTTTTAGAGTTTCTACCTATTATAGTAGAATCTGTAATAGAAAGAAAGCTTTACAAATAGCAAAAAAGATCAGCAAGACCAGAGGCTACATTTAATCCAAAATTGCCGAAATCGTCAGTAGATTCCTTATAGGAGTTATTGCCCTTGAATGACAAATTTTAATAATTTTACGATTTTGCCTTTCATTTTGAAAACTAGTATAAAATAGATAGAAATTAAATGATTTTTACTAATTCATTGTAATTTTGTGTTGTGTAATAGGTTGATAACTTTGAAAAAGCAAAAAGGAGCAGCAAGACAAAATCTGCAAATAGGTTAGTTTCTCGTTTTATATAGATTAGACCGTTGGTTTTTCCGTTTGAATGGTTTTACACTAGTAATTTTTTGGGGCCCTGTATAGCTTGCTGTTCGGTGTGAGCCAATGCTCCGTGTTGAAGGCCGTGCCTTAACCTATAATGGTTTACTTTTATAAATTGTAACTTGGATGGAGAGTTGTCTCATTGGCACTCATACCACATCTTCCTATATCTATCTAGCATAGATGAAATTGTCACTTGTTTTCTTTTAGGAGTTATTGCCCTTCAATGAATATTCTCCCCCTCTTTTTTTTTGTGTTTTGGGCAAATACTACAGAAGATAGAAGGAAACTGTAAACAGATATTAAACTAGAACTGTTTTGTGGTAATAAGCATTGTGTATAAGATTCATAATATTTGCTTGAGGCAAGCTTACGTTAGAGAACAGAAACGAAAAATTCCGCAATTTTTCCATTTGTAAAGGAACATAAGTCTAGAAAGGTAAAAGTGACGCCACCCAAATTCAAACTTGATCTGTGTTTTGTGGTTATAAGCATTGTGGATAAGATTCATAACATTTGCTTGAGGCAAACTTAAGTTAGAGAACAGAAACCAATTTTGGGACGTACAGACGGACGTACACACGGATAAGGGTTAAACTTAATGCAACCTCCGCTACGGCGGGGGCATAAAAATTATCAGCAATACAATATAGACAAGAAAAGAGAATTTTAGTCATAAATTATATTCTAGTTTACAATGTCGTAGAGTGGACATTGCTAAAGATGCAGATAGACCTAGGTGAGGGACACAGGCTCTTTAGAGCCTCTAGTTCATTAATCTTGTTACGATCCCATTCTAAGATATTAAATTTATGTCTTTTATACAATACAATGTTTATAAAAACAATTTTTTGTGCGGTCTGTATGAACTGCTTTGATGGATGAGTTAATTAAAAGAGGCTTATTTTGGTTTGCTGAGCATAATCAGTGGTGGATCTAAGAACTAATAAAAAAGGGGGAGTAGTTTCATGTGAATAAGGAGAGAAGGGCGGAACCAATAGATGTAAAAAGATGTGGTATGAGTGTCAATGAGACAACTCTCCATCCAAGTCCCAATTTTTAAAAGTAAACCATTATAGGTCAAAGTATAGTCAACATGGAGCCTTGGTTCACACCGAACAGCAAGCTATAAAGGGCCCCAAAAATGACTAGTGTAAAGCCATTCAAACAGGAAAACCAACGGTCTAATCTATATAAAAAACGATAAACAAATTTTCACTTAATACTAATTTGTAATCTATTTCACACTAATTTGAAGACAATGGGACTTTCCACACCAAACCTTTTTACAGGTATATTTTCCTTTCTAGTAAAAAGGTAATAATTTAAAACTGATTTTATTTTTCATTAATGTTGCCAGTATAAATGGTCATTGATCAGGAGCTATATTGCTATATGCTCCCAGGAGTATAAAAATGTGTTTAATCCTATAATAACAAAATCAACAATCTTTTCTGCAGCTTCAATTATTGATGTTATATCACTGCCCACTTGTGACTGTAATAAAATAATGAAAGCTGATCTAATACATGTTTATAATAATTTATTGATATAAGTAGTATTATCACAGTTTATAAATTGTACATGTATTGCATATATCTATAACTAAATGTTTCATAAGAATTCCTTAGTATGAATACTTTATTTGATATAGAAATGATTAACCATTAAAATCTATAATAAATGTTTTGATTTCCATGGGGTTCAAGGTTATCTGTGGCAATTTTCCCTTGGAATCAAGTTTCAGTTCTCTATAAATTTGTCTCTCGTAGGCAGGCTCGTCTGTAAAATAAAATTATATGTATACAATGTCAGGTCTGGCTGTAAACTATACCAGAACTAAATAATCTAAAGAGCCTAGAATTATTTGTCACTTGTGTATCTGATACATTGATGTATTTATATGTATACAATGTCAGGTCTGTCTGTAAACTATACCAGAACTAGATAATCTAGAGAGCCTAGGATTATTTGTCACTTGTGTATCTGATACATTGATGTATTCATACTCATTGTATATAAGTTAAATATAGTTCCAACTGCAACAAGTATGTACGATATTTCCCCACCCGAGACAGTTAAATTTTAATATTTAAAGCGCGTCTCAGGCTTGCCGAGCTTTTTAAATAATTAAAATTTAACTGTTGAGAGTGGAGAAATATCGTAATACACGAGTTAAAGTGGTGGAATCTGTTTCTCTAATGATTTTTATCCTTCCTTTTCAAAGAGTTGCAGAAAGTTGTGTTCTTTATATGTGACGTCATCATGCATGGTCACCTTTTTTCATGACGTCACAATAGGAAATTCAGAAAAAACTAAGAAAATTTGACGTCATAATTAAATTTTGACCAATCATTTGCCGAGAACAGTTATTTCAATAGTGAGGAGAACATTTTTTTCACAATCAGTTGGGACATGTGAAAATAGTGAACAAATTAGAGAAACTGTGTTCCTTTACAGACAAACCTCTTAGATTACACCAACTTGAACAAGAACCATAATACCATTGTATATTATTGCAATTATTAAATATACTCCATTTCATTAAAATAAAAACTATTTCAAAAAATTATTTTAATATAGTAAAACAGCATAACTATATTTTTGGATCTCTTTAAAAAAATTTCCCATTGTAATAGAAGAAATTATTTAGTTCTTAAAATTGACATTTAAATCAACTCTTAAAAGGACTTATTAAGGCCCTAAATGATGATTGATTGTCTGTTTATAAAATAAATGTTCCATTGTTTTAGGTCCACATAAAACTGAAGAAAAGGCTGCTAAAATGTAATTTCAAAAGGTTGTACATTCGTTTATAATCAGCTGTATCTACCACTAAGTCAACCAAGGCAGGCTAGGCTTTATAATAGGTTAATAAAGTGCAATATAGTAATATCAGCAAACTATACATGATATAGAAATACCAGTACAATTTGTAAACAATGTCAATGTAAATACAGAAACAATTCAAGCATTTAGATTATATAAAGATATGTTTTACAATTTTAGGTTGACTTATAAGATACACAAAGATACCTCCATCTGGCATGACTCTCCACTGAAGTCTATTTAAATCTTTTAGCATCATGTTAGCTCCCAGTGTCATCTCAACAGCTCCAGTAATATTGAAGAAACCAAACATTTGCTAAAATTAAAAAACAAAACAAAAAAACAATTGTAATAGTAAGTAATTAGTAGCTGTGATGGGAAACCAATAGTATAATGTTATTATATCAACTAAATACTAAATATATCAGTGGCAGATCCAGAAATTTTCATAAGGGCAAGGGGGGGGGGGGGGGGGGGCACTGACTGCCTATGAGGGGCCTGCTCCAGTCATGCTTCAGTGATTCCCTAAATAATCAACCAAATTTTTCCCACAAAAGAGGGGGGCCCAGGCCCCCTTAAATCCACCTCTGTATATTATTATGTCTTTATGGATTTGGGTGAACGCACTTGTTTAAATATGTTTTATTTAAAATTCACAAATATTCTCATTTGGCAATGCAAGGGCAATGCAAGAAATAAATTCTACACTTTGAAAAAAGGGAGACAATTCTAACAAAATGCATTTTCCAAAATTTATAAATTTCTAA